ATTTAACTAATAAACTGTTTTAATACAAAAACTACAAATACGTAGGTTGTATTGCCAGAGAAGAACTTTAACTACCTTAGTTATCTTATTACCTTGTTAGCTGAGTTGTGTTTTTCTGTGGTACATTAAAAAGTAACAAACATAAAACAAACTAGCATTGCTCAAAAGAATGCACACATAAGAATATATTTTACCGTTGTGTTTTTCTTTTCGTTTGTTAGAATAATGTCAGATGCTGTCCATGTTTGTTGCAGGGATCACAATGCATGCCAAACTTTGTCTCTCAACAACGTCTCTCACAATCTGTTAGTGCTCAAAGTACGTGTTGGGGATCAGTTTCAGCTATTTCTATTCAGCTAGGTTTTAGCTTATTACCTGTAAAGTGAACGACTTAGACATTCTTGCGTTTGCAAAGGTTGGTTAGCCATAATCAACCTTAGCCTGAGCCATTTCAAATAAGGATAAATCTAAAAGTTTATCATGTACATCTAATATTTACTCGGTTTGAATAAACACTGTTCAGTGGTTCATGAGATATTTTGCTAACAGAGTGACAAACGCATGCATCCGCACATGCTTTTAGGGTTACTATTGTTAAACTAACCAAGTTTTTTTTTTTTTTTTTTATCTGAACAAACCTAAACAAACACTTCTGCTATAATTATCTCATATTTGTGTTTGGATTAAACCTAAATCTCATCCATCAATCAGTCATCTGTTTTATTTGTTTATTTAAGGACCCCCATTAGTTTCTACCACAGTAGAGACTACTCTTCCAGGGGTCCACACTTAAAACCTTGCAGTTAAATCAGGCTTTTACCAACATACAAAAAGACATAATAAAATACCGAAGATAAAAACTAATTCACAATATAACAATTCAAATCAACCGTCTCAATAACACAGTGATTGCTGGACATGGGCACCGGCGACCCCCGTGACCCAAAATGGAATAAGCGGGTAAAGATAATGGATGGATGGATGCTCAAAGAGTCAATTTTGCCTTAGATAAGATAATTCAGCCTTGATTGATTAATTGTTATTGTTTGTTTATTATTGTTGTTGATTCTTAGTTTGATTATTTTTGTAATAAAACTTCAAAGAAAACTTTGGTCTCTTCATTCAGGTGAATATTCTTTTGTTATTCATTCATTCAGCCTTTATTTAGACAGGCAAATCCCACTGAGCCTCGAGGACTCATTTACAAGAGAGACCTGATAAGAACCTGCTGCTTACAAAAGAACATCAGGCCAAGAGTTTGTTACCAGCTGAGACACAATTCAGTCCATGGATCAGCCAGAACATCCATCCGTCCATATCCATGGTCTAGAACTCCCTGTAGTGAACAGATTCTACTTCAGTGACTGGTTCTGATTATTAAAGGGTGAATATATCAATTAAGTTGTTGTTGGTCAGTAAACTGACCAGCTGGTACCTCGCTTTAACGAGAGCTAACTAAATAAAAACAAATGTGGTGGAGGGGAGTTGAGAACGTGTCACCCTTCTTCCTCCGTCTCAACCTTACAGTAGTTATTGCTACACAATGCTGTTTAATAACTTTACATAATGGATGCATATATAAATTAAAGAGTATTGGTACAAGCACTGAATCCTGAGGAACTCCATGACTAACTTTTGTGTATAAAGACTATTCATTATTTACTTTTACAAACTGGAATCTATCTGACAGGAAATCAGAGGCAATAGTATCAAGGATGGTGTGAATTTCATTCACGGTGTGAATACTTTTCGTAGGTACTGTAGAACATAAAACACTGAGAAATTACATACAGTCAGGTATTGCTTTGCTGTAAGGAAATATTCTGCCAGCCTCACTTAAATCCTCGCTGACCTTCCTGTTCGTTTACCACTTCCAGTTTTTAGTTGCTCACCGATGCCACTCCTTTTTAAACACAACTGCAGATGTGAAGACTTATGTACTGATGATGTTTCCTGTTCCAAATACAAGGCATTATGTCCCTTCCTCTCCAGGCCATGTCTTGTACAAATGTGTTGCTATGAGTACTGGTTCTCAGCATGATACAAACCGTGCAGCGAGACCCAGAGGATGCTCATGGCAGCAAACCAACATGAGCTCATGACTGTTCCTAGTTACGATGCAGCTGCTCGCTCTCCTGGCCTCTCTGGGTCCTTGCAAGTGTCTGCTCATTTCTCGTCTCTTCTGTCGTCTCACGGGAAAAAAAATCTGAAATTCATTTTTTGCTGTGCAAATACTGGCGATGTACTTGTGAGACATTTTCAAATGCATAGATTTTGTGTTGTTTAGAGATAGTTTATATATTAGAATTCTATATTATATAGAGAATATATTTTACCATTGATGAGTTTTTCTTTGTTTTCCAATTTGTTAGGTTAATTTCAGATGGTGTCCATGTTTGTTGCAACCTTCATTTTACAACTTACATCTAACGCTGCTCAGAGATAAAGCACGCAGGTGGTTTTCAATGGCGAGTTTTGTAAAGTTAGGTGTAGTACACTTGTGTAATTTCATATCTTAGATCCTTACTACAGTTTCTTTTTACAATTTGTATTTTTGCTATTGTTGGATGTAACTGGGACCCTGTGTACACAATGTTGTTCCACCTCATGTACCACATGTGATGCAAATGATAAAAACCTACTTGAACCATTCTAGTGGGACTCGGTCCACACGTTCCCTCTTTCCTCTTCTAAAACACATCGTGGATCGTCTACTTCATCAACGAAGTCCTCACTGTCTGACTCAGACTCTGTTTTTCTTCTTCATCTCTGCCTTCGTGTTCCTCTCTTTTGTTTGAGAAGTTCTGACTCTGCTGTAGAGTTGCATGCGGGCCCAAAAAATCAGATCCGACCCCCAGCCTGTAGTCATCATTTCCGAACCTCACCGACCCGACGAATTAACAGTAATTACAGATCCGAACCCAGGAAAAAAAAAAAACAGACATTTTTGATTAGTTATTGACGGTTGGGGACACGCAGCTGAATAAAACGGGCCAAAGATCGGAGCTGAGAGGGTGTTCGTCCTTTCATGGCTGTAAAAGAGCATTTAAACCCTGCTTCTTTCTTCGGCGTTACTCAGACACTTACTGCTCTGACACGTCTGCTTTGGGACCTCACCTGTTTGGGTCGTCGGCCGCACGTGTCCACTGAGTGCAGCGGCTGAATGAAGGTCCATTTGGGCGATGGATCACTTCCTGGCAGTACACTCCCATCTGAAGCTTAACTCAACTTTTTACCTCTTTCAAGGCCGGTCAGCTTGCGGTGACATGGCCGCGCGTGGTTGGTGATTGTATGGCAGGCCATGTTATCATATAATTGCATTGCTGCTGATCCGCTGACCCAATCAAAAGCCCAACACCGACCTGGCCCATCCGTCCAGCACATTATCATGGCCCGGCTCGCCCCGAATCGGGGTTGGGTGGGGCCGCGCTTAGGGTTCGGGTTAGAAATGACAGCTGTACTCTGCAGCTCCGTCCACCTCATGTTCAAAAATGATCTCATTGTTTTGACTCAAGTACACTACACTACACCCCAACTATAAAAGCCAAACAAGCTAAATATCATGAATCTCTCAAACCTCATTACTCACTCCTGCTCTCCCAGTGAATTTATCATGTCAAACTCCATTTAACTCCTGGTTTTTTCTTCTTCCTGTAGATTTTTTGGCACTTGATAAATAACGTCAGCCCTCCGTCAGAAATGAGGGGGGAGGCTGGTTATCTGTTCAGCGGGGATGGGGGTGTTTTGTCCAGTAAACTGCCCATCTTTCCTGCTGCCTCTGTCTCTAATGCACTTCAGATATGACGATTTTCAGATTTTCTACACCTAGAGGTTATTGGAAGAAGTCTATAACCTGCACCATCAAGACCAATGGCATTCTGAAGGAAGAGCGGGGTTTTGAACAAAGTTTCTGTAGTTTACTTTCAGAGGGGTTGTTAGATATGTATAATTTTTAATTATAGCACATAAGGAGTCCCGCCTCTCGTCTCATCCAACAAAATTATTTTTGTTTTGGTGCAAAAGACAAAAGCACAGTTGTAATGTGCACAAATAAACATTTAGTACTAAAAAGCTGTTTGACGTGCATGCAGGATGTAGAATCAGTTGTTCCACTTCTGACGGTGGCTGACTGGGCTGAGAGGCCTTAAAGGCAGTAGATCTTTTCTTTGTCTGCTGCCGAAAAGATGGATCTAGGGTTGTACTGTACTTTAGTTACTTTGCTTTGTGTGTCTGTAGGATGTCACAGGATGGGGGGTTCTCACAGTGCTCCTCAGAACTGGGTCAGACAGATTTACTGTATGTCCTTGTCTAACCAATTGGAGCTAAAGAGAGATTATTAGTGGGAACTTCACATCCAAATCTACTTGTTCACCCATGACCCTGCAGGCAGTGCTGCAAGAAAAGGAACATTCAGGACGTCACACCATGAAGGCACAAGGAATGCACATCTGCCTCTTCTTTCATACTGTATACAGTACAGTGCATTGTAACCGAGTACCTGAAACATGAATCCACGTAATTCAGAGGTGGATCATTTTCAGCCTACAGCAGGAGAAAGAGAAAATTAACTAAAAATGTTAATGTACCTGTAACTGATTCAACATAGTCACAGTTATTGTCTACTATAACATGTGGTATTTATTAATAAACATTCCTCCTATTTGGTGACAGGAAGCCACACTTTTTTAATAGGAAGTAGTAAAATGCATTTGCCTACTGGAAAATCTCATTTTTAGATGTTTTTCTTCTAAATGTCATGCAAACCCTGATGATTGTTCATATACTTCATGTAGTTAATCATTTTGTTTTCTACGGCAAACTAAGGCAATTTAGTGTTTCTTTGAGAAGGGCAATTATTTAATGAATCATACTCAACTGCGAAAATAAATATATAAAAGGTTCTCAAACTTTGATGAGGTGTCGCACATGAAATGTGAGACAAACAGAATTTCCAAAAAAAAAGACTCACTTTGAGTTTTCCCTCTCCCTCTCTCTTTAAGGTATTGGCAAGAATGTGATCTGTGATAGGACTGCCACTCCTTTGGATGCCTTCCGAATGATGTCAGCAGCCCAGTACTATCCAAAGCTCCTAAGCATCATGGGAAACGTGTTGCGTTTCTTGCCAGCATTTGTTCGAATGAAGGAACTGTTGGAAGACGGTTACATCGGGGAACTTCTGGTTTGTGAGGCCCAGGTATGTTGAAAAACCACCATCCTTTATCCATCAGTCTATTTTCTTTAACCACGTTTCAATTTTGGGATAATGGGGGAACTTGTGCTGATCTCCAGAGGTCATTGTGTTAGAGGCAGGTACACCCTAGGTTGCAAATGGCCACTGAGGATAATAAAGACAATTCTTCTGTGATTAATGAGAGTAACCTTGCAGTACCAGCAATTGGTGGCTGATTTCTGATGTCATAATTTACCCTAGATACTTATCCATCTGTTTGGTTTTGTTCATACTTGGGTTTTCATTGACACAATGAAAACCCAATGGGGGCAGCGGTGGCTGAGTGGTTAGAACAGTCGTCCTCCAATGGGAGAGTTGGGCATCCGATTACACCAGCAGACGCATATTGAATTGTCCCTGGACCAGACACTGAATTGAATTTCAATTCCATTCAGTTTATTTATATACCAAGTCACAACAGAAGTCATCTCAGGATACTGAACAAATACATTCTCATACAGTAAAAATTTCATTAGTAACATTAGGGTAGAGAAGCCAGCAGATTGTGTTGTCTTCATTTCATCACAGTCTCCCATCCTGAGCAAACACAAGGCAACAGTGGAAAGGAAAAACTCCCTCACGAGGAAGAAACCTCCAGCAGAACCGGGCACAGGACAAGCGGTCATCTGCTTCTACCAGCTGGGTTTGAGAGGACAGGAAGGAGAGACAGAAACAGAATGGCAGGTTCAGAATAGGAGGAAAGACAAAAAAATTAATAACCAAAACACGTTAAACTATAAATAATTACAAATAGTAACTACTGTATTCATTTGTTTTCATTTTAAAATATTCATTTGATGAAATGAGGTCAATTTGTCATCCAGTAGTCTAAGCCTATAGCAGTATAGGATAAGGGATAATTCAGGAAACCAAAACTGACCCCAACTATAGGATTTATGAAAAAGGAAAGACTTCAGCTTACTCTTAAAAGTAGAAAATGTGTCAGCCTCACGGACAGAAACTGGAAGTTGGTTCCATAAGAGAGGAGCCTGATAACTGAAAGATCTTCCTCCCATTCTGCTTTTGGAAACTCTAGGAACCACGAGTAAACCTGCAGTCTGCGAGCAAAGTGCTGTTTGGAAAGTATGGAACAATAAGATCTGTAATATAAGAACCCCTCATTGCTTCTGATGTGTCCCATTGATGTATGAATGTGAACTAAAGCTCTGATTAGTATTTATAAAATAATTTGTTCAGTTAGCTTTGTAGAGATGTAGTAGATTGCTTATGGATGTGTGTGGAGGTAAGTGAGGGCACAGATTGGATTGTAAAGCACTTTGAGTATTGATTAGATAAAAATGTGCTGTATAAGTACAGTCCATTTCCATTAACTATTTATAAAAAAGTGAAAACTTGTACAATGTTAAAAACATCTTTGTCACATTTTCTGTTTTTGTCCCATAGGTCCACAGTGGGAGTCTCTTGGGGAAAAAATACAACTGGAGCTGTGATGATCTGATGGGAGGTGGTGGTTTGCATTCCGTGGGCAGCTACATTATCGACCTGCTTACATTTCTGACTGGACAGCGTGCTGCGAAAGTGCACGGCTTCCTCAAAACATTTGTCAAACAGACCGATCACATCCGGGGCATTCGTCAGGTCACAAGTGATGACTTCTGCACATTTCAGATGGTATTAGAAGGTGGTGCTTGCTGCACAGTCACTCTCAATTTCAACATACCAGGAGAATTTCGCCAGGAGGTGATGGTTGTGGGAAATGTTGGGAGGTTAATGGTCACTGGCACAGATCTGTATGGACAGAAAAACAATGGCGTTGGAGAAAGTGGCGGCGGCCCCGAACTCCTGCTCAAAGACACCACACCTCTTGACAAGGCCTCCTTGCCAGAAAAGGCTTTCAATGACATTCCATCCCCTTATCTGACTGGGACAATCCACATGATCCAGGCTGTGCAGCAGGCCTTTCAGGACCAAGATGACAGACGGACCTGGGATGGAAGGCCCCTTACAATGGCCGCAACGTTTGAGGATTGTCTTTATACTCTTTGTGTGGTGGATACAATCAAGAAATCCAACCAATGTGGAGAATGGCAGAACATAGTGGTCATGAAAGAAGAACCAGAGGTAGGCCCTGCCTACTTGATCAGTGAAGCCATGCGTCGGAGTAGAATGTCACTTTACTGTTAGCATCCAGCTAATGCACTAGTGTAAGGCTGGAGCCTTGGAATGTTTTGAAGTTATTTCACAGAGATACTGCATTCAGTTAAACTTAGCAGTTTTTATTTTATTTTAAACTTATGTTGTTACCGTTATAGAGAGATTTTGCCAAGGAAGTGCAGAGAGCTGTAGTTTTACTATGTCAGTCATTTAAAAAAATGTGAAAAATAATTTTTAAAAAAATTCTTAGAACGTTTGGTAGCGATACATAATGCAGCCTGGTGCTTACAGGGTACATACCTGATACCTACAGGGTAAGCACCAGGTATTTACTTTGTACGTACTATGTATTTATTGGGTACATACCAGATATGTACCTGGAACATATCTGGTAGGTACTTGGAACATATTGGTTGCACTGACTGGGTACTTACAAGGTACTCGCATGTAAGTACCAGGTATGTAATTGGTACTCATAGGCAGGTATCACACAGGTATCTACCACATACCTACCCAGCACCTACTCTGCAAGTACCTGGATAGTGCTGGGCTGAATTTAGTTTTGGTACCAAAAGTTTAATCCATTTCTATTTTTTCCTCATTTTAATGAAATATTATTCCTCCAACAAGATGCTTTTTGAAAAAAAGACCTGTTCATACACTGCAAAGGCACTGGAACCATATTGGAGTGAAATTAGTGCTGGCTAGTAGATTGATCAGTTGCAAGCATCTCAACAGAAACCTGCCTGTACTTCTAATGATTTTATTTCAAAACTGACACTTTGTCAGTCTGTATACTTTTCACCTCCTTACTGGCTCGTTGACCGAACATGCATCACTCATCTATTTCCTGCAGCTTTTTAATAGTGACCTCACTTACACTGTGGATTTGAACAAGGACAGCCAAGGGAAGAACGATAGTGCCCTCAAATTGGGCCACGTTGTTGTTGCTATTTTCTAAAGTATTAGCTAGTTTTACACAGTGAATGTTTAAAAAGTCAGTGTGCTTTGTGGTTTATGTTTGCTCTGTATTCTTGTGTGTATTTGTGCAAAGCAAGGAATAACAAATAATTTGGTTATGGGTGTTCTCTCGTTTCATTAATAGGTGCAATATTAACAGGCTAAAGCAGAAATTCTGTATTGGCCTTAATTATAAAGGGTTATAATACAATGTGTATGCCTTTATGCAGTCATAGTTGGCTTAATAATTGGTCTGGGTGATCAGTGGTGATACTTATATAGTTATTTATGATGTTGTTTTCAGTATGCGTGTAATTTTATAAGTAAATACTAAGCTAACCTTGACCACGCCTGCAAGTTGCTAAAACTCTTTAACATGTAGACGTGTAAAATGACTTGCAGAGGTTGACTTTAAACTTGAATTATTTTATTTTCTAGTCACTGAGGATAGAAAAATTATGTTTTATTGTTGCAAAGTCTTACGTAAGCAGAAAAACTGTTACTGTCTTCTGTTTTGTGAATTTTATTCTGACCATCTCTGAAGAAAGAAATAAAAATGCATTTGATATATTGTAATGTAAAAGAGGAGACCCATCTCTGTTTCATTTGTATTTTGTAACATTTTAGCTTTTTGTCTTGAGTTTTAACTGGACTTGAGTAGTTTTTTTCTTTCCCATTTTCCAATTTAATTGGCTTTGTTTTTTTATTTGTTGTTGTTTTTGTTTTGTTTTTTTACAGCCAGCAGACTTTTCGTGAACAAAGGTACATATGAAACAGTAAATGAACGTAGCTGGCTAATGAAGTTAGAATATTGATTTTAAAATGGCACATAGTTGATGAAAACAGAAGTAAAAACAATTTATGTTGTACCTGATTTGCTGTGGTCAGAAATCAGTTTGAGTAAATAAAGATGGGTGTTAACTGATTGGCTAACATGCCATCTCCAAAACTAGTTGCCAGTAATAGGCTTGATTATGCTTAAGTCTTTTTTTGTCTAGCCTCATCTATACACCTTTAAAGTATTTTCTCATTGTTGTCTATAGTTAAGGTCTTAAAATTGTGACTAAAATAGTTTAATTTCAGTTGGAGTCTCACTGAAATTGAAGGTTTTGTGACCTGAAAGCCGTGTTGACGTGTTTTAGGGGACAAGTTCATGAACGTTAATTCTAAACTGAAGTAAAATGAAGCAGTGGATCTGGGGCAGTTTTAAACAACTATCACAGGAAATCTTTCCTGCAAGTGTCAAATACAGAGCTAAAGCTCGAGATTGGTTCAAGACACCTGTGATGACCCTGCAACTATTCTGAGAGAAATTTGTCTCAGACTTTAAAAAAAAATATGTTTAAAAAATTGTGACTCGCCCGAGAAATCTGAGAACCCTCAAGAACATTTCAAGACGTGGGAGACACTTGCAAATACTGTTCACCAACTAGTTGCCAGTGTTCACAGCCAACAGAGATTCTGATTTCAGACTGGCACATTAGTTCCACAGACAAGTACTATAAAATAAAGAGGACAAGAATATATATTTGAAGAGTAAATGCAGCCAAAGCTACTGCAACAAAGGCAGGAAAAATCAGTGTCAAACCAGTTGCTATGTAAGAGTTGGACAACTTCAATTGTATACATCAGTGTAACCGAACCAAACAACTTTTTTTTTCTTTGTTCACTGTTCCTATGTGTAGTTTCATGTGCCAGCAACTACTGAAAATGTACATACGAGAATATTGTGAAACAATGTGTTTGAGTTTAAACAAAAGTACTGTATTTCCTTTATTGGAACTGGAATTGATTTTGATGAGTTACGATTATTTATTCTGTGATTTTGATGTTTAATCTGTGGACAGACCTGTAGTATGTGTGTGAGTTTAACCACAGACTGAGGCCTTTGGAAATGATCACCCATGTGTACTGAATGCCTTATGATGTATGAATAGACGTTTCCCCTTGGCCTAATAAGTGATCTAGATCAATAAAAACAGCAGTGGACTTCTCTCATCTGTGTTTATTGGTCTTATGTTTGGGCTTTAAGTGTTTCGACACGTTCAATCAGCCTTTATTTATACAGGTTAGTCTCAATGAGCCTCGAGAGACCTGTTCAAAACAAAAAGCACAGATGAGGTACAGCCAACATCAAAAAAGCATCTAAAATGAAAAGTAAACAGAAGAAATGGTATTAAAAAACCAGCTACAAGTGCTCCAACACGAGCGTTGAAGCACCATTATTACTACTTTGTTTAAAGTTTTTGTCCTGCATCAGTTCTGAAATAAAACTTGCAAATTACTCATCAAAACACGCAACTCAGTTCTACAATAGTAGTTCTACAACTCAGACACACTTCACAGTAAAAGCATAATTCAAAGTTTAAACAAGTCACATTAAGTTGGATTTCACGTTTGAACTTTCAGTTTGATATCTTTTATGATTTTTAATTCATTCATCCATCCTTCATTCATTTAACGCTTATTTGTAGTCTGGTTGTAGAAGCAACAGGTCCAGGAGAGAAATCCAGACCTTCCTCTCCCTTTCGACACTTCCCAGCTCGTTCTGGGGGACCCAAGGTGTTCCCAGGCCAGAGAAAATACACCATCCCTCCAGTGACTTCTGGGTCTTCCCGGGGGCCTCCTACCAGTGGGATGTGCTCAGAAAACCTCTAAAGGGAGGTGTCCAGGAGGCATCCTAATGAGAAGCCTCAACCACCTCAACTGACTCCTTTTGATGCGGAGAAGCAGCGGCTCTAGTCCGAACCCCCTTTGGATGATGACGTTCCTCCCCAGCTACCCCGTGTATACATGTAGACATACCAGTAAATCTAGAGCTTTGCCTTTCAACTCAGCTCTTTCTTTAATATAATAATAAATGTAAACTTTATTCTCAAAGTTGTACAGTACACCATGCAAAACTGAACAAAATTTAGTTTCATTTCTCCACAGCAGTGCAGGAGTACATAATTTACATGAATTTTACACACTTTGTTGTGTAGAAATGTCTGTGGCTGTGTGTGTGTTTGCTATTTTGGTCACTTCATTAGTGACCTGAGTTCAGCAGTCTAATAGCTCGTGGGATGAAACTTGCAGAACCTGGTGGTTTTGGTCCTCAGACTGGTGTACATCCTGCCAGAGGTCAGCAGAGTAAACGGTCTATATTGTGATTATCAGTTGTCTCTTTTGATTTTATTAGCTCTGGTCAGACAGCTTCTGAGACCAATGTCCTGGATGGATGGAAGGGGTGTCTTGATGATCTTCTCTGTCGTTCTCATCACCCTCCTCAAATTCTTCCAGTCTGCAGCCGGGCAGCTTCCTTCCCAAACTGAGATGTAGCTGGTCATGATGCTCTCTATGGTTCCTCTGTAGAATGTGGTGAGGACATGGGGTGGGAGGTGTGATTTACCACGACTGACTGAAGCAACACTGTTATTACTGAGGATGAAGCCCCAATCCGCCGACCCATCTCCCACTCCATCCTACCATCGCTCGTGAACAAGACGCTTATGCCCCTTTTCCATTAGTACCTTTAGTACAGGTACAGCACAGTTCAACTCGGTTTGGCACAGTGTGAGTTATGCTTCCATTATATTTCAGTAACGTGTAACCCGGGTAGAAAAATCATTCTCTTTCCCTAGTATGCACTTCATGCATTTCGTCTCGCCTTAATATTCATTCTCGCGAGTGTACTGTCAGTCAGACACGTGTCTGCAATGAACCATTCAGGGACTTAATAACCATGGCAAGCAAACAATTGCAGTAAGACCACAAGGAAGTAAGGGGAGAAGTTGCTGCAGGTAGGACTATAAAGTAAATTGTTGCTCTATTTTTGTAAAGTATTGCTTAAAAACTGAATGTATTGAATGTTGATTGTAGGAGCCAGCTATCACAGACCTCTGAGAGGCGAGAGGAGTTCGAACCGGAATTGGTGAGTCAGCAACCGTATTGTTAGCTCCGCTAGCTTAGCCGCCCCATGTAATTGTATGGGCAGGTTAGCCTTATTGCTAATTAGCTCCGCTAGCTTGGCCTACCCTATTGAATAACGTGGCAATTGTTTGTCATTTCTCTGACGTTTCTACTACATAAAATGATTGTGACATCAATTTTGATTGTCCAGCAATGACTGAAATGTGCAGCTACCCATCCAGGCTGTTGTATTGTAAAGTTTGCAGATGATACAGCAGTGATGGGATGCATCGCAAACAATGATGAGTCCAGCTAC